AACAGAGTCCCGGTTTTTTATAGGTGACCTCCGATTTGTGTACCTAGCCTCTAAGTTGCCCAGGGGGCCTCTTATTTGTAGGTATATACATACAGTACAGAGAGACTCCTACTTCGACTACTTGCACAGAGAGCCTCCTTTTTGTACATACAGCTAAGCTTCTACAGGTCGAGCGCCGGCCTCCTATTTGTACGTACAGAGAGCCTCCTACTGTTATAGAGGGCCTCCTATTTGTCTAGGGGGGCCTCCTATAGGTTAATGGCGCCTCCTATTTGTCCAAGTGGCCTCCTATTCGTCTAGGGGGCCTCATATTTGTCCAAGAGGCCTCCTGTTTGTCCAGAAGGTCCCCTATTTATCCAGGGGGCTTCTATTTTCCAGGGGGCCTCCTCTTTATCCAGGGGGCTTCCTACGTGTTCAGGGGCCTCCTATTTGTCCAGGGGCCTCCTATTTATCCAGGGGTCTTCTATTCGACCAGGGGTCTCATAATTGTGCATGGGCCTCTTATTTGTCCAGGGGTCTCCTACTTGGGCCTCCTTTTTTGAAGGGCCTCCTTTTTGTTAAGGGAGCCTTCTAATTGTTCAGGGGCCTCCTATTCGTACAGAGGGCCTCTAGCTCCTACTTGTCCATGTGGGCTCCTATTTGTTCAAGAGGCCCCTATTTGTACAGGGGGCCTCCTATTTGTCCAGGGGGCCTCCTATTTGTCCAAGCGGCTGTTATTTTTCTAGGGGGCCTCCTATTTGGCCAAGAGCCCTCCTATTTGTCCAGCGGGCCTCCTACTTGTTCAGGGGGCCTCCTATTTGTCCAGGGGGCCTCCTATTGGTTTAAGTAGCCTCCTATTTATCCAGAGGGCTCCTATTTTAGGGGCCTCCTCTTTATCCAGGGGGCCTCCTTCTTGTTCAGAGGGCCTCCTATTTATCCAGGGGCATTCTATTCGTCCAGGGGGCCTCCTATTTGTCCAGGGGGCCTCCTTTTGTGAAAGGGGCCTCCTATTTGTCCAGGGGGCTCCTAATTGTCCAGGGGGCCTCCTTTTGTGAAAGGGGCCTCCTGTTTGTCTAGGTCTAGGGCCTCCTATTTGTCCAAGCCCAGGTGACCTCCTATTCGTTCAGAGGGGGCCTCCTATGTCCAATACTTGTCCATGGGGCCTCCTACTTGTAGGCGCGCACACAGGATTTTTGAATGGGGGGGGGGGCACGACCTTCGAACTGGGCCCCCCATGCCGAAGGGCCCCCCCCAAAAAAAAATACGGGCCACGGTGCTATATTTCGGTTGGTTTGAAGCTTGAGCAATTGGTTTGTCAATGCATGGTAAAACAATTATTTCGGTACCATCTTAATTTTCAAAACATATATATTTTTACGCTAGCCTGTTTTTTCTCAAATGCGACTCAGAGCCGGTACATATACCCAATCATCTAATTTATTACGCAAAACATTTCATTAATAAACATTTTTGCAGGTCCCTCAGAAATCAGCCCCGGACAGCGACTGACTGCCGGCCGGCCGGCCGGCCGACCGGCCCCGGGTGGCTAGAAGCAGGGGCCGGTCACTGTTTGGCCCAGATGTGTAGGAGCGGGAGCAGCACTCCTTTTTCACGTATATTCGCATATTTTTTTTAGGCACATCGACATGAAATGTCATTATATCTGATACGATGCGGGATCACAGACTAGAGATCCAGCTTATAACTTATATTTAATGCTTAACCAATGAATCAAATCAACAGGACTATGTACGATGCATGTCGGACACGTACCCAGAATTTCGCCCAAGAGGGGGTCACCTGCTGGTCACCTGGCCCCGGGCCCGCGAGTCACCCGGGCGCCCGGGGTCAGCTCAGGCAAGGATGTATCCAGGACCTTTCGATGGGAGGAGGGAGGCACGGTGGGTCCAGTCTCACTGGCAGACGGGTCTCTTTAAAACGGTCTTTGCATGAGAAAATGTGGAAAATTGGCAAGCAAAAGTATCATTTATGCCCGAGGAGTGTGCCTAATGTACACTAATGCCTAATTTACATGGTATTTTACGAGCGAGCGAAGCGAGCGAGCTCCTTAGAGTCACCGGTGTGTGGCGCGTTCAGAGGTGCCAGTGAAAGGCCGTCAGATGCGCTGGTGTTGGGTCCTCACAGGCGCCGTTGCCGGGTCTTAGGGCTTAGAGACACTGGTGGGGCCATCATTGGCATGTGTGTGGCCCTGCAAAATGGCCTGCAAGTGGAAAGTGGCCCGTCATAGGCTGGCAAGGACACTCGGAGGCTGGTAAGAGGCCCTCATAGTCACTGGTACGTGGCCCTCAGAGGCGTCGGTGTGGGGACTTTCAGAGCCGCCGATGTAGGCCCTTAAGATGCGCTGGTGGGGGTCCCTTGGTGATGGGGCGAGGGGCCTCGCAGTTGCCGTTGTGGGTGCCTTTAGAAACACTGGTGTGGACCGTGTGTCTATCACAGACGGATGTGGAGCCATAGCAGGCAATCCCTCGTTGGCCGTTACTACTTAGGGCCCTGAGCGGCCGGCGAGGTCTCTCAGAAACCGGCATTGGGCCTTTATGAAGAAAATTGTGGCTACATAGGAGCCAATAACGTCCCCCCACAAGCCCTGTGGTGTCCTTCCGAGTTGAAGTGCGGCCAGCGCGAACCCTCTGCTACCAACTGGCGCCGCAGGGCCCCTCGGTTTCGAAGGAACCCTAAACCCGAGAACGGGCACGTACCCCCTCGCTCCCTTGCTATGTCACTGAATCCAAGTGATGGGACCCTTTAGGTAATCAGGGGCGTTTCAGATGACCAGGGGTTTTCAATTGATCAGGGGCCCACAGGTGACCATGGGCCCCTCTGGTAACCAGGCGCCCCTTAAGTAACCAGGGACCCCATCAATAACCAGGGCCCCTCAGTAAACGGGGGCCACTCAGGTAAGTGTAGGAGTCCCGCAGATAACCAGGGCCGGCAAGGTTTCTCAGGTCCGTTTTTTGACAAGGCTCTTATTGACTCAGGTGCGAGCCCTTTGCCATCAGCAGAGGGCCCTTTCAAGCCTTTTGAGGGCCGTTTAACGTCTCTTGAGTTCCCATTGAGGCCTTCTAAGGGCCCTTTGAGCAGTCGAGGGGCCTTTGAGGCCTTTTGAGGGTCTCTTGACGTCAGCTGAGGACCGTTGGACGCCAGCTGAGGATCGTTTTTGGGCCTTCTGATGGCCATTAGACGCCAATGGATGACCCTCTGACACCAACTGGGCCCTCTGACACCAGCTAAGGGCACTTTAAGTTTAACGCTAGCTCAGGGCCCTCTGACATTAGCTGGGGGCCCTCTGACGCTAGCTCAAGGCCCTTTGACGCTCTTTAAGGCCTTCTGAGGGCCCCTTGAGGCTTTTTGAGGGCCGCTTGACGCCAACTGAGGACCGTTTGAGGCCTTCTGATGGCCATTTGGCGCCAGCTGGGGGCCATCTGGCACCAGCTGGGGGCCCTCTGTCACCAGCTAAGGACCCTTTAGACTTTAGAGCCTTCGGGGAGCCATTTGACGCAAGGGCATGGCCCTCTGACGCCAGCTCAGGGACCTTTGACACCCTTTAAGGCCTTCTGACGTCCGTTTGACTTTAGCTGAGGGCCCTTTGAGGCTATCTGAGGGCCCTTTAAGGCCATCTAAGAGTCCTTTGAGGTCATCTGAGGGCTCCTTAAGGCCATCTGAGGGCCCTTTGACACCATCTAAGGGCCCTTTGACACCAGATGAGGGCCCTATGACGCTAACTGAGGGCCCTTCGAGGCCATCTGAGGGCCTTTTGAGACCATCTGAGGGCCCTTTAAGGCCATTTGAGGGCCCGTTGTACACGGTCTTCGGTGGTCTAAGGATTAGTTAGAGGCCCATTTGAGGCGGCCTTCGGCCGCCTCAAATGGGCCCCTTCCTTCGAGTTGGGCCCCCCAACTCGAATGGGGGGGGGGGGCACGGGCCCGTGTGCCCCCCTTGTGTGCGCCCTTGCTTGTTTAGGGGGCCTCCTACTTGCTCAGGGGCCTCCTATTTGTCCAGGGAGCCTCCCATTTGTCCAACAGGGCCTCCGATTTGTCCAAGGGGCCTCCTATTTATACAGAGAACCTTCTATATGAACATCGGACCTCCGTTTGTAAAGTAGCTGGTGCGTCTCGGGGGCCTCCACTATTGGGGTCCCAAAATGACAATTGGGGTCCCAAATGTTCGCACTGGGGTCCCACATGGGACCTCGAAATTATACAAAGTTACACCCATGCCCTGATATGTGATAGACGCTAGCTAAAATACCAGTAGTGCCATAAACTATAGGATGTTCAGAGCTAAACAGTGCCTTAATATTTCACTTTAATATTTAATATTTGCCTTAATATTTTCACGAAAAACCACCACAGGGGAGAGGGTCCAAACACTCCCCCTCCCCCCTTCAGCAGGGCGCAGGTTAACCTGACCTGTGATCAGGGCTGCGGAGTCGGAGTCGGATTCGGATTCGGAGTCGGTCGGAGTCGACAGTTGTGACCGCGGAGTCGGAGTCGGAGTCGGAGTCGATTTTAGAAACCCGAGCCGGAGTCGGAGTCGGAGTCACCGAAAATCTGTCGACTCCGCAGCCCTCTGCGGAGTCGGAGTCGGGAGTTGGAGTCGGTCGGAGTCGACAATTCTGCCCGGAGTCGGAGTCGGAGTCGGAGCTGGTTTTTGAAAGCCGGAGTCGGAGTCGGAGTCGGAGTCGCCGAAAATCCATCTCCGCAGCCCTGCCTGTGATGTCATCAGTGACCTCGAGCAACACCTCGAGGTCGTCAAAATATGCTTCATTCGACAGTTTTTCGGGGGCTTTCGATTTTCGAATGCCCTTTGGGAATTTTGAAGAAATGAACTGTTCTGCATGGCATGAGCATAAACATAGAAATAAAGACTTAATATCTTTATATCTATGAGCATAAACCTTTTGCTGAGCTCCAACTTAAACAATATAATAGCTTTGACTCATGGGCGTAATCGTGTCGTTTACGGCGCATTTCTGTTTCGTTTATGGCGCACTTATTTCTGTTGTGTGTTGGTTGTGTGTGGTGGTCCGTGGGTCGCCTGTCAACGCGTGGTGTCGCCGGCTATACTACTATACATCAACATCAACGTTGACGTTGGCTACAGGTTGGCTGCAGGCTACAGAAGGTTCACAAATAATCACATCCTCCTGTCACCGTGAATTTGTTGGAGATTGGTAGGAGCGATTAGGTTATTTGAGCTGATCAAATCATTTGTAACTTCACAGTTACTGTAGTCAAAAAAGCAATTATCTAAGGGCCAAGAACGTCTAGCCTTTTCCCTAGGCTAATGATAATGATAAATTCTAGGTACCTATTTTCTGCTGTGCTCATGCTAACTCAAATTGCTAAGCATCAGCATGTTGATGTTGATGTGGATTGGGTGCGAGAATTGGGTGGCCGTTCCAGTTCGGGGTAGGTGGCCTAAGGAGTAAGGGCATGTATCTCGGGAATGGGATTGCAAATTGTGGCACTTTTGAATGATAGGTATCATTTCAAATTCCTGTAGCTTGTGAATGACAAGGTTCTGTCTGTAGGCAATTATTTTTTAAATTTCTGTTACTTATTTTTTAGTAGTTCAGTGATACGTGTGTTGCTACAGCAAAAATTTTAGGTTTTAGGTTAGGTTAGGTTGTAAGTTTGTAGGCTTTAGGTTTTAGGTTGGTAGGTTTGTAGGTTTTAGATTGTTAGGTTGTAGGTTGTAGGTTGGTAGGTTGTAGGTAAATAGGTAAGGTTAGGTCAGGTTTGACTATGTATTTCTTTTATTTCCAGGACATATAAGTATCATTTTTGGATTCAGGATGTCAAGTAATGTAAGAATATGAAAACTTTATCTTTTAACAGTCACTCAGACTTAATATATTGATATACTTTTACCCCGGTTCAACCAATTGTCATAGCTCTAGTACCTATGGTTTTAATGCATAATGAAATTTTATGTCAATACATATCAATTATGATATTGATATTAAGACTGCAGTTCTGCTTAACTGTAACAGGACTTGTAACAGCTAACAAACATTTTGATATCATGCTCAATTCATATTGTCTTCCATTTTTCCAGTAGGTACCTCTCTGAACATCCAAAATGACAGACGCACGCTACTTCACGACCACCAAGAAGGGTGAAATATTTGAATTGAAATCGGAGCTCAACAGCGAGAAGAAAGAGAAGAAGAGGGAGGCTGTCAAAAAGGTATGAATGAGTCAATGACTGATGTGTTTTTGGTCTCTATGCTTTGATCAATCATGCCATTACACAAATTTTACTATCCTCATTATTTATTTTACTCTTTATGACTTAAGTCAAGAACTTAAATAATTTGGCATCATTTTAACAATTGACTTAGCTAGAGCTTGCACTAACCTGAGCTGCACAAGTGAAAGTCTTTAGTCCTATTATCTTATTAAATATTTGTTGGTACCTACTTGGGAGATGTTTTGAATGTCAAAAGTTAAGTGTTTCACCATGTGTCTCACCCACTGACTTGCTGCAGCTGCTCCCATCAGTCACTGGCTGACCCAGTCAGCCAGTCTCATATGCTGATTACCAGAGCAACTAAACCCTGAGCTGCTACCACTGGGAGAGTTTTGTGTGCTACTGATTAGCTACCTAATATGGGATGGACATAATTGTGAATTTGTTTTTTATTAATGTTGCCCTCTTACAAGGTAAAATCATACAAAACATAATGCAACAGTAGCTGTCATACAATGACATGCAACTGTCAACCTGATATCACTTGGAAACATAAAATTGAAAATAATTTAATTCAACCAAACATCATTTGAAAAGATAAAATTAAAAATATGTTAATTCAAATTGTAATGAGCAAGCAGATAAAGTTAAGTCTCACACAAAATTGGTAGTAGAAATTTTGGTAGTCATGAAGCAGGCGTCATACTTGTTTTTTTTTTTTGCAACCAAGTAGAGGCACTATACCGAGAGATGCTTTCTACTCAAACCAAACCAAACCTGACCTTACCTACAACCTACAACATAGGTACAACCTAAAAGCTATCACCTGCAACCAGCAACCTAACCTACAGCGACTCTCCTTGGTTGAAAAACAAATGTGACGCCTGGTTTACTACTACCAAATTTTTCTTAGTATGAGTGGCCGGCGGGCTGTGGAGATGTTTTTACGAACCTTATACCTCTGCAACCACTGGACCGATTTGTGGGACCGAGCCTTGCAGAGTGTGCCCATTAAAGCTGGACATGGCCTGTCCCACTCAACTGATTTCAACTCCGCTGCGGCTGCTCCCACCAACCGCATACCATCCCAGTCAGGAGTGTCAAATATCGAGCGCCGGAGCGACTCGAACCCGGGCTCTCACTACCGGGAGTCCGGTGCTCTACCAGCTGAGCTGTGGGACGGGCAGGACAGGGCATTTATTCGAACACAACTTCCCAACATCAACTCACATGTTGTTGAACGTTCATTGTGACATGTATGACTAGATAAGTGAAACTTTTTAAATATAAAGGTTCTCGGCTTTCTATAATACAGTACCTTTAAATTTAAAAAGTTTCACTTATCTAGTCATCAACTCACACTCTTCCAACATCAACCAGTTTCTCATAATTCCAAGCACTGGTGGTCGGTGTGAAATGTTCACCAGCGCGCGCGTCTGACTCTCTCCGTCTTCTGTCCGCGACCGTCAGGTGATCGCGTCCATGACAGTGGGTAAGGATGTGTCGGCTCTGTTTCCCGACGTGGTCAACTGCATGCAGACAGACAACCTGGAGCTGAAGAAGCTCGTCTATCTCTACCTGATGAACTACGCCAAGAGCCAGCCGGACATGGCCATCATGGCCGTCAACACGTTCGTCAAGGTGGGTGACCCTTTACGTCCAGGCTCATTATGTTTTGGAACTTAACAGTCTGATCAAATTCTGGGATCTTGGGAGCAATGTTCCGTGTCTTTTAGTGCAGAGAAGATATCGAGTGGTTTTATTATCGATGCCTGACAATGACTGGATCAACACTCTATAGTTGTCAGTCCTATAGTTGTCAGTCCATGAAGCTAGTAGTATTTTTTTTTTCATTTGCCTGCTCGCCAATATCTCTTGTCCCCGCCATCGGTGTAAGTTTATTTTGTTGGAATAGTTCAACGAATAAAAAGTGACCGTGATAATGCAGTATTCATGGATTTATCGCATTTCCATGTTTGCTTTATTGATCACTGACAGCACCCACTTTATGATATACCATTGGTTATGTTTGTTCCGTTGTTTGTTTATTTGTGGTTGTTCTGTGTTCACCGGCATGTAATCGTAAAGCTAGTCTCTTCCCATTCCCATATTCAGTCCCATCCCCGTAACCCCTTACCCCGTGCTGTCCAGCGCCCTGTAGCCCATCAACTCGTCGATTCGCGGACAACAGTACTTATCGCAAATGTTCGTAAGCAGAAGTACGTAGGCGATTGAGTATGTAAGGACAAAAGTGCGTATCGCTAAAAATAACGTAACCTGACCAGATCCAACTTCTAACCTAACCCAACGTATTCCAATCCATTCCAACTAAACGTGACCCAACCTAACCTAACCAATGCGTTGGTTCATACGTACAGAAACGGACGTTTGTGACGCGTGTATTTGTCTGCAACCCCAACCTCCCTGCGTCCCTCCCTCAGGACTGCGAGGACAGCAACCCGCTGATCCGCGCGCTGGCAGTGCGCACCATGGGCTGCATCCGCGTCGACAAGATCACCGAATACCTGTGCGAGCCGCTCAGAAAGTGTCTGCTCGACGAGGATCCGTATGTGCGCAAGACGGCCGCCGTGTGTGTGGCAAAGCTGCACGACATCAACGCCTCGCTGGTGGAGGACCAGGGCTTCCTGGACCAGCTGAAGGAGCTGCTGTCCGACTCGAACCCCATGGTCAGTGAGATGAGAGGACAGGGCCGGATCTTGGAGGGTGTTGACTGTGGAGTGTGGATTGTGGATGGAACAGTGCTAACTGGCGATAGACTGGCTCTGTGGTAGTTTTTTTTTATTGTTAGCTGTTAGCTGGACCAGTCATGAATGAAAATGAGTGTTTGATAATTCCAAATTTCGCTAGCTTCCTTGCGTTTTCCTTGTTTCTTAGCGCTATATACCTGCGCTTATATGGTGCATGTTGATGACATCAATATTATCACTGCATAAGTAATATGCAGAGATGCTGGATCATTTGCATAGCTACGCTTTTTCTACGACGGATGTTTTTGCCGCTCTCAATTCAGCCTGAAGATTTTATGGTGTTTCTCTGCCCCGATCTTTTGACGTCACCGAGCCACCTCTATGCTTTACCAGTGAACTGTGCTGACTAACTGCCGTTTCCAGGTGGTGGCTAACGCTGTGGCGGCGCTCACTGAGATCAACGAGACGAGCCGCAGCGGCAACCCGCTGATGGAGATGAACGCGCAGACCATCAACAAGCTGCTGACGGCGCTGAACGAGTGCACCGAGTGGGGCCAGGTGTTCATACTGGACAGCCTGTCCAACTACAACCCAAAGGATGAGCGCGAGGCGCAGAGGTGTGTGTGGAGTATGACTGATGGCGGTTTGGGGCTGGGCTGGACAGTGATGTGACTCAACATGGTATGACAGTGGGGGGCGGTGTGGGGATGGGCTGGGCAGTGGCTCACCATGGTATGGGGACCGACGCGGTCCTGTTATGCCACTGTCCCGTGACTATTGATCGCCATTTAATAAGCTCATTGTTTGCATGCTTACATTGATTTTGCTTACTCATGTAGTTCGACACTTGTATTCCATTTCAAAACATCAGTTTCATCCTCTCTATGCCCAGTTTATTCTGAGCTGGCGTTAGTCCAACCCCCATCGGTTAGTCCCGTGTCACTGTACCAAAGGACGGCCTGACCCCCCGACCTTGATCTATCTGCTCCTACTGTGACCTGGCCACCGGCCCCGAGCGCCGACGTGCCTGACAACCTTCTCGAAACGTAACCACCAGCCCTGTCCATTCCTAACCTTACCACTTTACCCTGGCCTGACCTGACTACATGACCCTAACCTCACTACGCCGATGACCACTGTAGTCCGGGCGCCCCCCCCCCCCTAACCTCACTACCTGCCGCTTCCCTAACCTGACCAGTGACCACCTGCCGTATCCTCACTACCCGCCCCTACCCCAACCTGACCACCTGTTCCCGTCTTAACCTCACCGCCTGCCCGTACCCTAACCTCACTACCGTTCTGCTCCTACCTTGACTTAGTAACCACCAGTCCTGCCTGACCATAACATCACCATCTGCCCCTAACCTGACTTCACTACCTTCATCTACCCATTGTACCCTAACCTGGCTTACCTGACACCAACTACCCCGACCCTGACCTGTCCGTCCCTCCCCCAGCATCTGCGAGCGCATCACCCCGCGTCTGGCGCACGCCAACGCCGCTGTGGTGCTGTCGGCGGTGAAAGTGCTGATGCGCTTCATGGAGCTGATGCCGTCCGACTCAGAGTTCGTGACCAACATCACCAAGAAGCTGTCGCCGCCGCTGGTGACTCTGCTCAGCTCTGAGCCGGAGGTCGGTGTGATCGGAGACAGGGAGGGAGGGAAGGGGATGGTTGGTAAATCGTGAACGTCTGAAGGAAAGGGGGGAGGGGGAGGGGAGGGGTTTGTGGAGGGTTGGTGTCAGCAAGGTGATGGTTCATAAAAAAATTTGTCAGCTGGTGGCATGCTTTGCTTTAATATTTTGGACTGAGCTACTAGCCCATCTTATTGCAGGCAGTAGCGCCTTCATGTTGAATGTTAAAATTGAAGATAAAATACTGGCATCTTAAATTACTTACCTCATAGGAGCAAGCTTTTGACGTTTGAATGTGATTCACCCGACACCTATGAGTTGATGTGTCATTCAGGCCTCGTAGATGACACACCATACATCTCATACGTTCCTTAGAATGCACTCGTACGGTATAGCGACTGTCACCCGGCTGACCGTGCTATGCTGTCTGCGTCACAGGTGCAGTACGTGGCCCTGCGCAACATCAACCTGGTGGTGCAGAAGCGGCCCGACATCCTCAAGAACGAGATGAAGGTGTTCTTCGTCAAGTACAACGACCCCATCTACGTCAAGCTGGAGAAGCTGGACATCATGATCCGTCTGGCAAACCAGAGCAACATCGCCCAGGTCCTCTCCGAGCTGAAAGAGTGAGTGAAACAGCGTGTAATGACTTTCGCTTGTCTGGCTATAATATTGCGGTTGATAATGAGTTTTTCAATCTTCGCCTAAAATAATATGAATTGCCAAGCAGGACCTATTAGACCTTAAAACGTCATCTTGTTGTTTACTACAGGTTAGTGTGCTCTCATGCTCAGACAGTAGACATGCCATCGAGGATTACCCATAATCTCTACGAAAAGTGATAATAATGTTGTTATTTGTGTTGTTCCACATCCCGGATACGACACTGCGGCTGGCGGCGACTGTGCAAAATACCGTTTGTGATGTGTTTTGTATGCTTGTGACAACCGACTTGATACATACCTCTTACGTAAGTCTGTGTTTGTGACATGTTTGTGTGTTTGTCCACTGTCAGGTACGCCACGGAGGTGGATGTGGACTTTGTGCGGAAGTGACTATATGTTTGTGACATGTTTGTGTGTTTGTCCACTGTCAGGTACGCCACGGAGGTGGATGTGGACTTTGTGCGGAAGGCGGTGCGCGCGATCGGCCGTTGCGCCATCAAGGTGGAACAGTCCTCGGAGCGCTGCGTCTCCACACTGCTCGACCTGATTCAGACCAAGGTGAGTTCGGCCGACGCGGTCCCAGCCGTTATCGCAAGGAAGGAAAGTGCGGCGTAAATGCGTAGCTGTTTTTTTAACTTAAATTCGAAAGGCGCGATGTTTAATGTTTAATGAAGTGGCCCGGGGCTATCCAAGTCCAGACGTGGGTTGTACTCCTTGCAGTTAAGTTGCCACACAAATTTCCTTTTAGCATGGTCGACCATGGTCCTGCTTAGTCATCTACGCTCAATCTCTTCATGATTGTACTTGGGAGTGTTTCGTTGATTCCTTCGTGCTGGAGACATCTCAAACGTGTAGTCTTTTGCAGTGATACTTTCAGCTGTTTGGTCGATCTATTCGCACGACTGTCAATGCTCACTTCAATCCTTTTCGCCCCAGGTGAACTACGTCGTCCAAGAAGCCATTGTGGTGATCAAGGACATTTTCCGCAAGTACCCCAACAAGTACGAGAGCATCATCTCCACCCTGTGCGAGAACCTGGACACGCTGGACGAGCCTGAAGCGCGGTACGTAGCCTGGGTGTCGGTGTGGGGAGGCTGTTGTTCGCTGGTCTCCCACTCCCGCGAGTCCCGCTCGTGCTTCGGAACGTCTGGGATGTGGCCAAACTTTTGTTCACAACTATTTGTTTGCCACAATGTTTTGTCTAGATTGCTCCCGGCCCATGAATGTCTGGCAACTTTTCGTAAATGTATTTTCTTGATTGCTGTTAGGGGCCAAAAACTCTTTTTCAATCATCGCGGATATGAAATTTTCGAACATTGTTCACTGGTCCTTGTTTTTATTTTTTCCGTCACAGATAACAGTAGTACTACTACTGTTAGTAGTAGTTAGTTAGTTAGTTAGTAGTACTACTGTTATCTGTGTTTCCGTCTATCCTCTGCAAAAAGGAAAGCAAAGCAAAAACGTGCATCACGGCTCCTTTTCCTTGCTGTGTCGGCCACTGTATCTGGGTACTCTGCGCATCTTTTCCCCGAGTCCATTTATTCCATCTCCACGCTACCAATGGAATTGCCCGCGATGCCGACTGACTATCCCTCTCTGGTGTCGCTGACAGAGCCTCTATGATCTGGATTATCGGCGAGTACGCAGAGCGAATTGACAACGCTGACGAGCTGCTGGAGAGTTTCCTGGAGGGTTTCCACGACGAGAACAGCCAGGTGCAGCTTCAGCTGCTCACAGCCATTGTCAAGCTCTTCCTCAAACGGCCGTCCGATACACAGGAGCTCGTGCAGCAGGTGGGTGTATGTGGGGCCGACAGTTGGTGTCTCGCTCGCTCACTCAGTCACTCAGTCACTCACTCAGTCACTCACTCTTTCACTCGCTCACTCACTCACTCACTCACTCACTCACTCACTCGCTTTCACTGGCCCATTCGCCCACTCACTCATTTGCTCGCTCACTCGTCACTCAGTTACTCACTCACTCACTCACTCACTCACTCACTCACTCACTCACTCACTCACTCACTCACTCGCTCGCTCGCTCGCTCGCTTCTCTCCCATCCCCGCTCTCTTGCTTCGGACTGTTCCCCTACCCCTCCCAAGCCCCCAGGCCAAAACTCTAGCATATCGAACTTCTTTCCTTATTCCCTGGTCTCCTTATCCGCTCAGGCATAGACCTCTGTATACAGAGGTCTATGGCTCAGGTCAATCTTAAGTCTCGCCTCCCACTCATCATCGCCTTCTCATCATTCACCCTGGTCCGAACCAACGCCTGTCGGCGCATCCTATCTTACTTCTTCTTACCAGATTCATTACCAGATTCTTAGCACCAGATTCAGTGCACTCTTTCATCTCGACATCACCCTCCCCCCCCCTCCCCAAACACACACCGCCATCCGGGTCAGGAGGCGTTTGCTGTATATATTTTGGTGACATAGCATTTCAAGACTAATTTAACCCTCGCCCTGGCAGGGGGGGGGGGGTCGATGCGACCCCCCCCCCTAAGGTTTTTCAAAGATAGCGTAAAAAAACGGCGGCGCTGCATTTGGCACAGCCTATGGGGCAACCTTTTTACATATGACCTGAAAATTTTAGGTCCGGGTGACCTTGGGTCAGGTCACCAGGTCAGAAAAACCGGTACAAGGTCATGGTCAAATTTCAATTTTCTTTTTGCACCTGTCCAACTCACAGCTTTGCACTGATTTCCTTCAAACTTTCAGGATGTGCTAAGTTCACCGAGTTGTATAACATATAGTTCGGGTTTTTTGAGGTCACTGACCTGAGGTCAGTTAGAGGTCATTACGTCGTAATGTTAAGCCTATGGGAAAATACTAAATTCGGAAAATACTGGAGATATCCGCTTCGTTCTATCACTTTTGTGCTTTAAAACCACAGAACTTAACAGCAGGTCACTTGGTGCTTCTTTGTTTGGTGTACTTATCCATGGGTCAGGTCAAATGAGGTCAACTGAGGTCAAATGACGTTTTTGCCAATAACTTGGCACATAATGACGCTAGAGCTTAAAAAATGGTATCATTGTGTTCCTGGTGATCAGCCGAATCGAATGATATGCGATATGATGCAATTTGGTTAACTTGAACTTAACTTATTAATTTAAGTTTACTTAAAATTTAAGAAAAACTTTAAGTACACCTAATCAAGCTAAAAAGTATATCATTCGACGCGCCTTGACGTGCTGAGTTCACTGGTGCTTTTCTTTTTGCTCTATCTTAATTAGATCAAAAGTTATAAGCGAAAAACTTTTGACCTGTTTTTAGCGAAATTTTTACATTTATACCCCCCAAAACCCCCCTAAATATTGACCTAGAGCAACCAAATTTGCACAGGGGCGAGAACTCCAGGGGGCCCACCTACCTACCAAATTTGGTGTTTCTAGGTGCCATAGGAGCCAATCGCGAGGGGGGGGGGTCGCATCGACCCCCCCCCCCCCTGCCAGGCCGTGTTATGAAAAATGCCCTGCCAGGGCGAGGGTTAATGAATGTGACGAATTGTCCGTCATTTTGTTTCGGTTTGCATTGTTGTCCTGCCTAGCCCGTGCCTGTGTGATCTAAGCTGCAAGGCTGGTGTTGATTTCTAGGCTGGCTTTTGAGAAGCCAAGCAGGACGTGCACCTTCTAATGCTTCTATTTTTAACGGCCGAATGTCACATCCTACGCCACCACAGCCACCAGCAAACTTCAAAAAGTCTTAGAACTTCACCGTTCGTGATTGGTTTCAAAAACTCATTCGGTCCTTCAGCGGCACACGATTTCACCCGAAAGCCGGGCGCCAAATAATCTTTTCCCGGGCTCGCTGACATACCAAATGAATCTTTAAAGCGAGCCAATTATCACCTCGCTTTGAGAGTGGCGGGCCGTGGGCTCGCGTACGTGTGGCGTCATAAACCGCGCCTAATCTCTCTGAGTGGGGTAATGGAGCAAGTTGGCGCGCCGGCCGCGGACAGTTGGCGCGCCGGCCGCTGCGAAGTTGGCGCGAACCATTAGCCAGCTGACTAGGCGCGGGTCGGCGCGCCGCGCGCGGCCGGCACAAGTTGTCGGCGCGGCCGGCGGATGCGGGTAATACGCAACCGAAGTGTGACGTCATGACTACTGGCTGGGGCATAATCAGCTGACGGCCCTGTGTTAAAGCAATGGGACGAAATTTTATCAGCATTTTTAGAACAAACTGGACCTAGTTAGATAGTTTGGGGGCCAGTTTCTAGGTAAACTGAGTATATTCTATTTTTCTACGCCCAAAAAATGCTATGTTTCAAAGCGGAAAGGACCAAATTTCACGAAATTGTTACGGGCGGCGAACTTGACGCACCAAATACATGACCTTGAGATGCGAACTGTGACCGCGTCGGGAGGATTTTGATGTGTAAGGTTTGACATATTTGAGTTTGAGCTGGATAAATATTTTTTATTTGTAAAAAGCAAAGGAGAAAATCCACCATATAAGTTATTTTGAAAATCTTTTTTATTTTAAATCCGTTATTTTAAACCTCTTGATCTAAAATATTTTGTATTTCTGCGTCAACTTCGCCGCCAATTAGGTTTTCACGAAATTTTGTGCTTTGCGTTGTTAGATTTTGCAATATTTTTTCATAGAAAAATAGATCATACATCGTTGTCCTAAATTCAGCTACTAAAACTATCTAACTAGGTCCAGTTTTCTTGGGAAAGATCGGCAAAATATTGCCCCATTGCTTTAGCACGGGGCCGTCAGCTGATTATGCCCCAGCCACTTATCGTGACGTCACGACTTCGGTTGCGTATTGCCACCGGCAGCGGAGGTGGAGGCGTTGTGCCGCATTTGGCGGTCAGTGTGGGGGCGGTACCGGCGACACGGCACGAGACTCCCTCCCTCTCCCTCCGTTTCCGATGCCCCAAGAGAGCAAGATGACGACCTCCGGCATAAAGCTGTCGGGGATCGGAGGGATTCTTCCGATTGCTCATCTAGGTGTCTGGGATGAACTATGTGACTCCGTGGTCTCGATTCAGTGATGCGAATTATTTCTTTTATAATTATTTTCGCCCGGCGGATGCACTTGAGCTCTTGGCTGGAGTCAGTTTACGACCAATTTATGATACGGGAAATAAATAATCGAGTTATCGTGCCTCCCATAATCTTTGGTATTTGTGGCATCCCGAGGACTTCGTCGAACAAATTGTTACTTTAATATTTAGCTGAAGAAGCTCTTTGATGATCAGAAATGAACAACCTGTAATTGAGCTCATTGCCATCCTAGGTATTCAGTACAACGTTCAAAGGACTTGGTTAGCATGGAAGCGTTCTTTTTTTTTTCATTACACTATGCAACAGTCATTTTGTTCCTGAGTAACGACCGATTTTTTTGAACTCATTGGGTGTCATCACAACCGAAATGGGCATTTGTTTTGATCTGAAAATGCTTTTCCGGTTTTCAGAGACGATTTTCGATTTTTGGCCCCGAAATTCGGTTTTTGGCCCACCGTGTCCGGTGTAATTGAGTAATCGACTCGTGGTAACTTTCATCGCCTTTCCTATGCCACAAGCTTTCGAATGATATCCGGTTTTGCATATTTGCGTGTAAAAATAACGTCATAAATCTATGTTAACCCTATTCCTGGCGGGGGGGGGGGCCTCAGGAGCCCCCCCTGAGGTTTTTTGGTTATTTCTCCCAAACGCTTTGAGCTAGGAAGCTCAAATTTTCTGACTTTTCCTAAAAGGCTTTTACGCAACATTTCTGAAAATTTTGAGTTGATCTGACCTCAGGTCAGGTCACCAGAGGCGGTTTGGTGACCCTACCTCAGAAAAGTTTGCAATCACGCCAGAGCTAGAGTTTTTGACCGATCAATTTCTTCTCTTCAGGCTTTAGTTAGGGTACCAGTATGTGCAATTTGTATATCTCAGAATTTTCATATTCTGTGACCTGAGGTCAGGCCAGACTCGTGACCTTTACATTGCAAGCGTATGGGAAAATATTGAAACGCCTCCTGCTTCGTGTAAACGAGTCAAAACCACCCAATTCTTTCAGTATTATGGAAGATTATCTCATCGGTGATGATCCTGGTGCCGCTAATTGACAGGGGCACCGGCAAAGGTCATCTGAGGTCATGTGACGTCATAAATCGTTTTTCTGTCAATAAATCACGACATGGTGGTGCTAAAGACTTGTAAGTGGTACCAAACTGCTCGCCTGGTCAAGGCGCGTCGTTTGGTATGCAGCATGACCATACCTCACAACCTCATTGATGAATGACCTGACCTTGACCTCAGGTCAAATTTCAAATTGACCTGTGAAGGTCATCACATACTTATTTCGCATCGCCTCGGCGAGAGCAACAAAAAATGTATTGGTTTTATGTCTCTATGTTTCTTAGTTTAAAAGTTATATAGGTAACTAATTCCAAAACATTTTATCGTTGATGAGCTCTGGTGACCTCAATATTGACCTGACCTGAAAATGTTTTATGTAAAAGTTGTAGATCTTTAAACGACCTATCAAACGCCGTTCGCCGTTTGTCGCTGCGACGTGTAGTTTTTGAGATCTGAAGGGGGGGCGAATCGGCCCCCCCCCCCGCCAGTTTCTTGTCCCGGCGGAGCCCGCCAGGAATAGGGTTAAAGTAAGAAAATGTCGAAACTTCGTAAAAATTTGACATTTTTTCCAATTTCATTTCAAAATAGAGAAAAAACTAAAGACCCTATCCAAATTCTGAGCCCAGTTCCTTGAAGAGCATTCAATTTCCGTTCGGAAGGTACTATTTTAGTGCATTTTATCGGTTTACTGTGGCGTCCAGATTGAGTCACTGGAAAAACGGGCCCCCAGCCATTTCCATGACAATATGTGTTCAGTGCATGAAGAACCATTCTAACAAATGGAGGTACAGATCAAGATTCTGAGCGACAGGACTGCTCAAAACTAAGTTCCTGCGTGTGACACGAGGTCACAAGGGGTCAACAACATGACCTCAGTTGACCCCTCGTTGACCCTATGGCGTTAACATACGTTATCAGGTTAATGCTATGTGATATGACCTAGGATATGTGTTTAGGTTAACTCAATCTGGACGCCACAGGAATCCGATAAAATGCACTAAAAAAGTACCTTCCGAACGGAAATTGAATTCTCTTCAAGGAACTGGGCTCAGAATTTGGATAGGGTCTTTAGTTTTTTCTCTATTTTGAAATGAAATCGAAAAAAATGTCAATTTTTTTTTACAAATTTCAACATTTTCTTACTTTAACATAGATTTATGACGTTATTTTTACACGCAAATATGCAAAATCGGATATCATTCGAAAGCTTGTGGCATAGGAAAGGCGATGAAAGTTACCACGAGTCGATTACTCAATTACACCGGACACGGTGGGCCATAAACCGAATTTCGGGGCCAAAAATCGAAAATCGTCTCTGAAAACCGGAAAAGCATTTTCAGATCAAAACAAATGTCCATTTCGGTTATGATAGGACCCAATGAATAAGAAAAAATCGGTCGCTTTCCAGGAACAGAAAATCTTTCATTTTTTGTTGCATAGTGAATTATTGACACTGCTGGCTGCGGCTGCTTACTGCTAACTCTGCGGCTCTGTCCATCTAACGCTGCCCTCCCGCGACCCCCAGGTGCTGAGTCTGGCTACCCAGGACTCTGACAACCCGGACCTGCGCGACCGCGGCTTCATCTACTGGCGTCTTCTGTCCACCGACCCGGCCGCCGCCAAGGAGGTGGTGCTGGCAGAGAAGCCGCTCATCTCGGAGGAGACGGACCTGCTGGAGCCGACGCTGCTCGACGAGCTCGTCTGCCACATCTCCAGTCTGGCGTCCGTCTACCACAAACCGCCCAGCGCCTTTGTCGAGGGTGAGCGAGGGAGAGGGTTGGCATCGGTCTGGTTCTTGGAGTGGGGAAACACTGGGTGGACTGATCTTTTCCCCGTTTGTGAGAGGATAAGGGAATAGTTGGTCTGTGGCCGTTTTCGAACACGTGAGTGTCGCAATGTTCGTTCGTAACTTTGTGAGCTGATCCGGTTCGCAAGATCTGGTGCAGTTGGCAAGTTAGTTGCAGCTCGGCTTGTGATTTACCAACAAACTATGCTTGACGTAATTAAAGGAGTGCACTTAGTAGTTTTGGCTGTTTCTTTGGGAGCCCTGCTTTCGACATTGCTTTAATTAATTATCGAAACTTGTGAGCTACCCAGCAGTCGAGCTACGCTGCCACTTTGCAAATAAGTGTGCTTCCTACTGCTGCGCCATCGCTATGCAAAGTAATAATTTAGTTAGGTACTCTTGCAAGGATCAGAATTTAGGTAACTGCCCTCCAGGGCCCAATTTTACCAAATGCCGTGAATGCGCAATCATGGCATTTGGCAACGTTCAGAACTATTCCACATTCACTTATTCATTCGTTCAGGCAACATTCATAATCATTCACAGTCATTAAACTCATGCTGGACGTAAATAACAATAATACCCGATACCGTTGATATTATTACCGGTAACTCCGGCCATTCCTGCCATATCCTATTCACGGCATTGGTAAGATTGGGCCCTGGTGCCTGTTGTCAGTGATTACGGAGCGAGCGAAGCGAGCGTAGTCTTTCCTTAGATTAACGGAAATTTCTGAGTATGAGCGGCCAGCCGGCCGACCAGCCGTGCGGACACTTTTGCGAGGCTTATATCTCAGCAACCACTTGACCGATTTACACGCGGTAATTTTTGTAGGGTAACTTCATTCCTTCTACCAAGTATTGGACTATTCCCGATGCATGTGGGTGACCCCTTATGCACGTGCCACGTGCAAAACGAAGAGGTGTCAGTTTTGTAATTGTTGCAATATCTCGGTAACTACTTGGCCGATTGCGCTGAAAGTTGGCATGTAGGTAGGCACCCACTAGGCACTGCATATCCATGTGCCAGAGTTAGGGTGCTGCTGCACGTGCGCACGTGCAGGGGTCGTTTCCACATCTCGAGAACGGCTGTACCGATGGCGCTCAAATTTGGTACACGGTTAGGGACCAGTTGTACTCGTAGGGTGCCGTGCACAAGTCAAATGGGACCCATTTTGCACGTGCGCACGTGCAGGGTGCCGCTTCCAGATCTCGAGAACGGCTGGGCCGATTGTGCTCAAATTTGGCACATCGCTAGAGACCGGTTAGTAGGGTGCCGTGCACAAGTCAGTTGGAGGTACCACCTCGAAAATTCGCACGTGCAAGGCCCACCCTCTCGCTCGCTCCGTTAGTCGCCCCAAAAGGCGTTATACTTGTTTCTTTCACTTGCGTTGAAACATAATCATTGAATGGATCTACTTAAATTTACAGCACATCTATATAATTTTCACGCGTACCGTACCAATAGGGAAGTTTAAATATGTCAGTGCCATTGACAACACCTCTTGTGGAGTTCAATGCTGCGATGGACTCCGGTCTGCCTCGCACCTGTGGGACTTCCGGCCGGGTATTGATATTCCGAGTACGAATGATTGCTTCCGCTGAGCTGGCGTGGTGCACTCGCTCACAATATCGTCAAAGATTCCTCGGACAAAGCCCGTCCAGTGATGCGTGGGAGTGCGTTTTCCGGAGATGAAACAGGGGCACTCAGGTTGGGCGTCGTCTGGTCGGGCCGAAGGGGTTTCCGTGTAAGCTATTACCTGCCGTGATCACTCACTGTTGGGCGCGATATAGCCTCGTTGCTGGTGCACCCTGTTACTCCAAGCCATCACCATCATCTCTCACTGTCAAATTACCCTTCGGATGTCACTGTCACCTACCGTTACCTGTTGTCTGACGTCCGCTCCACACCCATCAAAGTCGCAGTGCCGGGTGTGCTGTTGCCTGTTGTTACCTTTCATCTAACCGCGGCTGACGGCTCGCCCAGATCAGATCGCAGTGCTGGCTGTTCTGTTACCTGCACCTGTCTGTTCTGTTCTGTTCTGTTCTATTCTGTTACCTGTTACCTGCACTGTTGCCTGTCACTGTCGCCTCTCGTTACCTGCGACTCTCACCCCGTTACCCGCCATCTGACCACCGCTCCCCCTCCCCCAGGTCGCAGCGCCGGTTTCCGCCGCGTGCCTCTGAAGCCGGACGGCTCGGCAGCGGCGGCGGCGGCGCCGGTCGAGGAGACGCCCCAGGCGACCGTCATCCCGTCACAGGACTCACTGATCGGTGACCTTCTCTCGCTGGACCTCAACCCGCCGGCCTCCCACACGGCTCCCGCGGCGACCAACGTGCCCTCCAACGTGGACCTGCTCGGCGGCGGCCTGGACGCCCTGGTGAGTGGGGGTGGCTGAGTGGCAAGGGGCGGGGCGGCTCATAATGGGAGGGGAGCGGACTTGGTCAGACGCCTGGGTGTGGTCTGGGGGGACCTGAGAGCCATCTGGTTTGTGCTAGTGGGGTTGCGGACTGTTACGTAAGGCATCGATGCAATGTAAGTCTGATCGATACTGTTTTTTCATGTATATTGACCTTCCTCAAACTACCTACCCTTTTCATTGAAATACCTTTTTTCCTGTAGTGGTCCCTGTCTAATGTCTTCATGTGTAAGGCCTTTTGATCGCAACGGCATATGATAGACCATTCCTTTTCCTGACATCTCTCCTCTCCGTCCTTTCTTTATCCTCTCCTGCAGACGTGGATGGGCGGCGGCGTGCACAGCCCAGCCGAGGGGCAGTTCCTGTGCCACCTGCGTGACCCGCACACCCATCGTCCTGCCCGTCCGCCGCTGCCGGCGCCGTCTGCTCAGTCGCCTCTGCCGGCGACCGCACAGTCGCTGCCGCGACGGACATCGCCGCTACGGTCTCCTCTTACGGCTTCCGCCGCCGCTGCCGCCGTCAGCGGCCGTGTCACCAGTCCTATCACTAACCTCGTCACCAGTGGAGTCACTAGTCACGCCACCAGTCCCGTCACCAGCGGGTTCACCGTGGCCGGCATCTGCACCAACCCATTCCTGGCCGGTTTCCTGGACGAAGACACCATCCTGACGCTCGCCACGGATGGCGATGAGCTACTTCTGACTGACCACAGACCGGTATGGGCAGCACTGGGAGGCGAGGTAGATTAATTTATAGCTGGAACGGATCGGAGTGAAGGGAGGAAGGGAGGGAAGGAAGCTAGGTGGTCTGAGCTCAGTTTCCTGCCGTTTTTTTCGTCACAGACGCCGGATATGTGTCGCACTAAGCTGGCGCACGGGTGTTTTTAAATGACTCGCGCTCCGGCGAGAGTCAGTCGAAGCCTTGCCGGGCTGGACCGGCAGGCGGGGACTGAGCTGCAGCGCCGTGGCCTGTTCGCCTGAGGCGGCGGCATGCATCACGCGTGTCCAACTAGTCACATTGCTCATGGCGGGCGGCGGTAACTGCCCGCTGCTCCACGCTCCACGGGCTGTTGGCCAGCCGAACCCTTTTGTTGGCGGTCTAATTTTACGTTAGGTATTAATTGTTGTGGGAATAATTGCACGCTTGTTTGATATGTCGCTCCTCGCTAGAGCATTAACAGACGGACTGAAAAGTCGGTCGGCTGTTTATCATGGTCATTTCTGTTTTATGAGAACTATAAAGGGACCTATGACATTACCACTACATTCACATTTACACTGCGACATTTTTCTAGAGGATCTGTAGAATTACTGTAAGTGGTGTTGTTGGGACGCACAACATGCAAGTTATCTACGTTACTCGACGCACCATAGTTTTGTAGTTGCCGTAACTGCGCTTCCGAAACTTCCTTGGTAAACTCCGAGCCAAACTATTTTTAACTTATTTAATCAGGCGGCTCTTTTTTGTACTTCTGCTAATGCCACACCGCTGCCGGTTGATTGAGTTACGATCTCGACGGGAGCGGTCTCCTGATCTGTGCCGGTATCCAATTATCTGCGCCCGCGAGGTGATCAGACCGTGCGCGCCCGGTTAATGGTGCCCCGGTGTCCATCTGCCGCCGCTGCTGTCCGGATGCCTGGTGGAAGGTCCGGGAGCGCCGGGTGGGATGGGGTGGATAAGGAGAGGTGCCCGCGGGGGATTGCAGTGGTTTGAGTAGCGTGATCGTTTTGGGTTGTAATGCGATCGTGATGATGTGCAGGTTGTAAAGTTATTTGCAATGTGCTCTTTATGAAGGGATTATTCTATCAAATTTTTGACATTCTTGAGATCTCGTGGATGAAAGAATGCCACAAAAAGGCAGCAGCAATCGAGTGTCTGTAGGCCGCTGATTGAAGTTTACAGACTTCTCGCCCGAGACGCTTTTCTATCTGTCAGTCTTACTGTTTTTGACGAGTTGCCATGCCCTCCGCGATCTCGGCCCAGACGGGTGGTCAATTCGAACATCCATGGATGCCATATGACGGCTCTCATCTCCCTTAGAGCTCGTTCTGTCTGATGTATCGGCGACGTTTTAGTTTCAGTTTTGTTTTATTCATTCAGCAGGCATCACCAGTTCCATATTTTTTTTCTGTTTCCAACGACTGAATATGCTACAGCCGTATCGTGTGTTGGCATTTGACAACTTCTATGCACGCCATATTTCTATGCGGCACCTATTGTCTGCTAATATTTTCTATCGTTCGATTTGAATTCTTAGCTTTCTATAATACACCTCTTCTATATAGTATAAAATATTCATATCCGTCAGGTAGCCTAACCCCGATATTCACAGCAGGGACGGCGCAGGGCGCCGTTTTCGCTGCACGGCCGGTGCCGATGTTTCAAGTGTCCGTGACACAGTGCTCTCAATCGGCGCCGGCCGCTGCTAATGACGCTCATCGCAGTAATGACGGGGGCTCGGCGGCCGGCTCCCCAGTCCAGGTGTTAAATCAATAGTCGATGGCGGCGCGGGGCGGGCCGGTCACTCGGCTCGCCTTTTAGCACCCCGGGCCAGGCCGGACCCGTGATTAGGGCCTGTTCGTGCCCCGTCTGCTGCCGACCAGCACTGCGCCCGCCAGGCACCTGACGTGAGCCAGCTTCCTTATGTCAGCGTTCGGTCGATAAGTTTCCAAGTGACGGCAAATATTTCTGGGTTATGATTTTCCGTTATTTGCCTGGTTGCAGCCAATATCCTGTAATGCGGTGTTCAGGTTATTTGTCTGACAAATATTGCGCTCGCGTTCATTTCCCGTTTGCGTGCGGCCACCCAATGGGCGTTGACCTCTGTAAGGACCCACACGACATTCACATTCTCATGAATACACGCATGCATGCTTCCTACGTACTGCTAACACACAATATAGGTACATTGATTGTACATGAACAATTTGAACATGGCTATCGCCTGCATACGTCCACGTCTCCCCCGGGCTCGTCTGCGGTTGTGTCTGCCCCTCTGACTCCGTCTATCTCCGGCAGCTGGGTGGCGACTCGAGCAGCGGCGCGCCGGCTCCGGCCGCCGGCGGAGGCATGGGCGGAGGCACCTCGGCCGGCCTGCTGGGAGACATCTTCGGCATCACACCCACACCGTCCAACTACATGCCTCCCAAGCAGGTGTGGTTGCCGGCCGCCAAGGGCAAGGGTCTGGAGGTGTCCGGCACCTTCTGTCGCAGGTGAGAGAGGTCGAAAGAACAAGGGAGCGCGGGGTCATGCGGGGAGACGGGGGGGGGGGGATTCAGTCCCCATTCTATTTTGGTTTTTGTATTTCTATAAATTGAATTGGTAATTACACGTCTCTTCCTTATCACCCGATCGCCAGTCTTATGATGAGCATGATCTTTTGTTGCCTGGATAAGTTGACACGCAACTGGACCCCGAATATTTGACTAACTAATGCACGGACAGGTAACGTTTGAGGTCCTGGTCTTGGGCAGTGGTCACTCCTCCCTGATCAGTCGCTCCACTTGCATCTCACATGCCCGATTAGCGCGCCCACCTTCCAGCTATCTTCGCCTGCCCCACCCCCACCCCTTCGAGTGACGCTGCCGGCAGCGGGCCACCCCAGCCGATTCCCTCGGGACACCCGGCCTGTTCCCGTGACTCCGTCTCTGTGTATCGGACTCCGTGACCCGCCTCTGTCTGCGACACGATGCCATTTGAGAGGCTGTCATTTACCATGGACTGCCACGGGGGGCTGAGCCGTGGGCCGGCCCGAGAGGCCGCCGTGAGCTCTGTTCTCTGAATGTGATCGACGAGACGAGTGAGGGGTGGGGTGGGTAGCGGCGCGTGGCCTTCGCCCTCAACTGGTGGTGACAGGCTTTGACCAGCTTGCTGTACTCGGCAGCGGTTTCGATGACCCGTACTGACGGGCTACGCGCGCATGACTGGCCCCGGATTTGACTGAACCGTGGAGGCCGGGTGTGCTGGCCCATAAATGTGACCTTTACACTGATCTCTGCTGACCTTAACGCCCACTAGTGACCTTCATTGATATCTGGTGGTATTCGCGGACTCCTGATAACCGTTGGTAATCCGTGACAAACTTTCTCGACCCTTGATGACCTTATGGACCCTTGACGGACTGTCTAAACCCTTTGTGTGATATACCGACCCCTGATGACCTTGCTGACCCCGTTGACCTGTGTGTCCTCAGGGCGGGACGGGTCAGCATGGAGCTTACCCTGAGCAACCGAGCCATGCAGCCCATGTCCGGCTTCGCTCTGCAGATGAACAAGAACAGCTTCGGCCTGGTGCCGGCCCAGCCCCTGCAGGTGGGTGGTGCGGGCCGGGTAGAGGAGGGTAGCGGAGACATCATTCACAGCCACTGATCGTCCAGCATATTTAGGATTGGAATTAGGGCTTATTAGAATACGTTTTATAATTAACGTTTTTTATAAATTGAGTTTGCTACAGCAAGCTGAGTTTGAAGCTGAGTTATTGCGTTTATTGCAAACTTCCTGGAATAATAGGTAGTGTTGTGGTTGTGGTTGCCAAATGAGCCACTATCTTCGAGCAACCCTTCCTCGGCATACCAGTGACTGTTTACCAACCCCACAGGCCTGAACTGCATGTAGATCACTAGAGTTCCATCTGACACAATCGATTGTGACACGTTCCAAGCTTTGGCCCCATTGGAATCGGATCGGGCGGCTCCCAGCAGTGAGGTCGGCAGATGCCGCTTGGACTGGCCCACCTGCAGTGTGAGCGAGCGCTGAGGCACTTATCTCTTGGGTGGTATGGAAGCCGTTCGGGCTGAGCCGGCGCGGCGCCCGGTGCCAGGCGGCCGACGACACGGGGACTGTCGGTACACAGGACCCGTCACAGTCCGTTGCGGGGTGTCACGGCCCGGCGCGGGCGGAGCAGGGCCGCCGTTTGACGGTGCTGGGTGCCGACAGCCACTGGGTACACACTACACAGTGACACCTCCGGATTGCCAAACTCTGCTGCGTCTGAGACTCTAACCGTCACACCGTCTGCGTCTGAGACCGCCTGGCACTGCTTGATTGACTGTTGGCCAGGGCGGGTCGTCTACCAGCCGTCAGTACCAGCCTGTCTAGGGTGGTACTGAACTGAGCCAGACCTAACCGACGACTTCGATGGCCCTCCAGCGCTGTTCTACTGGATAAGTGCGGAACTCGACTGCGTCACGCGCTGTCGTCACGGACCCTGCGTGACGGTGTTACGTGACGGTCACTGACACACCGAGGCAGCCGCCGTTACGAGCCGAATCGGACGCCGATTTGATGGCGATCAATCCGAGTTTGAGACCAATCAGTCACTTTACGACGGTCAGACTGAGCCAGACGGCCGGCCGGCGCCAGCCGGGCCGAATGCTGATTGGGACTTGTTTCCAGGAGGTTCTCCAGAGAAACGGGCGCTCTCGTAGGTGGTCTACCGCCATAAGAAGCTCTCCGCTGCTTTTCTGTGTTATGAGATAGTGCGGCTTAATACGGGCGCCGCGCTACCATATTGTGTCATGGCGTAGTTTTATGTGAGCCAATATAATCCGGCGGCTGATTACACGGCATGCTCACGGCTAATTCTATCATCGACCGCGAACGGACCCGGATCGCTAGCGGCTGCGTTCGGTGGACACTGCGCGCTGCTGGGACGCTCCGGTCAGTTACTGACCGGTGGGGAACGGCCCCTGCTGACCTGCTCCCCTGTCGGCGCGGGGTGCCGGTGCTGAGAGCTCGGCGCTGTCTGCCGGCGGTCTCGCCCTGGCCTGACTGGACTGGGTTAGGGGCGGGGTGGCGGCGGGGATGTTATGGCCCCATCGCTCTCCGACTGATCCTTTGAGCCAGCCTGATGAGGCCACAGCCGCCGTCGAACTAAACTCTCTTCGCTCCCGACCGACGCGACGGTCGGCCGCCAGCCGACCGGACACAACCAGTCGCGATTGGGTGTTCCGGATTAAAACTTAGCTCGTGTTTTGGTTCTTTGGAGTAGTGGCCGAATTTCAAATTCGAGATGGTTTTCATAATTTTCAAAGCTAAAGATTTGCTGGCTTGTTGTCGGCTCACTTTCGTAAAGCTTTGCATTGCGCTGTGTAATGGGTAACTTTTTTCGTGGATCGATCATTTCACAATTGCGAACGCTCAAATGCCCCCTGTCTTTCCGATTGGATAGTGGGTTCGTGGTCTCCTTTATCCTTTTTTTGCAACGCCGATTCTTTTCAGCAACGCTTCATGCCGGTCTTCGTCCGAACTCGGTACTACCCGTCATTTAAGTCGCTGAATGTCGCTAAATATTCATGTGAGCATCTTAGGGACATCGATCTTAGAACATAACTTAAAACGAGATGCCATGTGCAATGTGTATTGATATTTTCAGATGTTGTCAGATGTTATGTAGCACAGTTAGCATATGCAATGTGTATGCTTGCTGGCCGATCCCATTTCGAGGAGTTTAGATGACAACCCAATTGTCTTGTTTAGAAATAAATCACCAAAACAAACGTCATTGTTGTTGAAATAAGAAATGTTACCTGATTTCGACTGTCAGATGCAGGGCTGCGGAGTCGGAGTCGGAGTCGGAGTCGGTCGGAGTCGACAATTCTGCCCGGAGTCGGAGTCGGAGTCGGAGTCGATTTTAGAAACCCGAGCCGGAGTCGGAGTCGGAGTCACCGAAAATCTGTCGACTCCGCTGCCCTGCTAGGTCTGCGGAGTCGGAGTCGGGAGTTGGAGTCGGTCGGAGTCGACAATTCTGCCCGGAGTCGGAGTCGGAGTCGGAGCTGGTTTTTGAAAGCCGGAGTCGGAGTCGGAGTCGGAGTCGCCGAAAATCCATCGACTCCGCAGCCCTGGTCAGATGTTTGGACAGTGATCTGGAACCCACTCTAAATTTTAAGATCTTATATGGATTCAGCTTTTGTTTATGTGGACTGTTCATCGAAATGCCTGCCATATTACTTTATTCCCTTTGATGCAAATCAAAGTTCGACCAACGTAAATCCTGCATTCGCCGAACTGACGCTAAACGCCTTGCTTTTTACCGCGTGTTTCACACACCATCTCTTTCATTCGTAAATCGTGTCAATATTTGATCATTGGCACTCTCTCGCTGCCGCTGTGGTGGCATAGAATGACGCAATGGCTTGCACTTCCCTAAGGGGCATTATGCATCCCGAACCGGTGGCCCAGCACTGCTAAACATTTCATTTCGCCGCATTCCACCGGAGCTGATGTGTGTCTACCGTGCATTGAACTGGTGGCGGCGGCGGCCGGCTCACTGTTGGTCTATCAGTGGGGGTAGCCGGGGGGAGGGGGAGGGGGGTTCATCTCCGGCCAGCCGGCGGCGGTGTGCCGTGGACACACAGTGGAGCGGGAAGGGGGAGGGGGGGGGGGCTCGCGCCACCTGCCGTGGAGTCAGACCACTCCTCTGCCGGGGAACCGGGCAGCTGCTGCGCCTAGGGGACCATATCACCCAGTCGCTGCGCTGATAGTGCAGTTATGAAAAGCTTTTTCTCTTTTCGTGTATTGGTTATGTGAAGTTGCCTAATAAGCTATTTGTTAATACATATATCTGTGCTGTGTGCGATGACCTTGATTAAATTGGATTTGTTACGCGTTTTGCAGTTACTAACACGTAACGAGTGGTCAACGAAAATCACTGCGTTACCCCCCGCAGGTAGCTCACTGTCTGATCTGTGGCGCTTTTCCAGACTCCTATGGACTTTCGACTGTCGCCCATAGTCTCCGTGGTCCACCTCGGCTACTGATGGGCGACTAACGCGCCCCTCTCCGTTCCAGGTACCCATGCCGGTCCAGCCGAACCAGAGCACTGACGTGTCGCTGCCGCTGGAAAACAACGGACCCGTCCAGCGCATGGAGCCCATCACTAACCTGCAGGTAAGTACCGGCGGCCCATCACTAACGTATAGCGAGTACCGCCGCCCCATCAATAACGCGTAGGTGAATATTGTCGGTATACCGCGAACGGTTACCGCTGGCCCGTGCTGGTGGGTACCGCCGCGCCGGCCCATCAGTAATGTGTTGGCGAGTATTGCCGGCCCATCACTAACGTACTGGCTGGGGGTCGCTGAATCTCCACTAACGTGCGGATCACCACTGCGTCCCTAACCTCCATTACATCTCAGACTACAGACAACCAAACAATCGACATTCCATCCCAGTGTATTTCACATTCCACCCGGAGTCAGAATGGTGGACGGCTGTGGAACAGACAGCGGGTCCCGTTCAGTCTCCCTGTGGTCGGTGCTGTGTCGGGGTGGTCCCGGAGCGCGCGGTGCGGGAGGAGGAACTCGCAGCTCCGTGTCTGGACTGGAGGCAGCCGGGCTGGTGACGGTCTTGGGGAGCTAGGCTAGCTCTCTCGGACTTTGCACGCGACATTAGCGTAACCAGTTATATCGTGAGTTTTCCAGCAGCCGTTGCCATCGCTAGTCATATAGGCATATCGGTAACCAGTGCCAGCAGGTTGGCCGCTACACCAGCTTGTCCAGTTGGTGGGTGTGCCATCGGTCCAACGCCACGGATCGTTGGTATTGTATGCCACGAGTCCTATCCAAGTGGTCCAGCCATGCATGACGGTTTCGAATAGTAAGGCGTTCTCAATGTTGTCATGAATGGACACCATATGTGATTCACGGTACTCATTGTAGCAAACGAATTCTCCTGATCTCATGTCGACATCGAACGGGGATTCCCAGTAACAGTAGCCGTTGTATAGTTGCCACTCGCTGGAGGGACAGCCTGCGGACGTCACGGCGGCCGTCACACTCACCGTGACGAGCCACAGCCAGGGTCCGGCGGCCATGTCGGGATACCAGTCGGTCCGATGCGTCGATCTGAGGTGCGGCGCCGCGCGGGGTCGGCCTCTGAATCGGCGGCACGCCGCGGCCCGGCCGTCTTATACCCGTCCCGGAGTGTGGCTCTGCAGCTGATAGCCGGCACTGCGCAGGGGTCTGCCGTGGGAGCGACGGCGACTGGCGGCATTGAGTTACTTTCTTCAGGTGTTTTATATTTGGTTTCAAGTTGATGTCTAGCTATTGTTATTTTGCACTGTGTTTTATGAAGCAGGCCGTCGTGTAGAGATTTTCTCGCCAGGTGGGCTCTCCTGTAAGCCGACACGCCTTCTTGAACGAGAGGGGCGGGGAGTCGTGAACTCAGTGCCACGTGATCCTTAACCCGCGCCCTGGTGTGGGTCTGAGCCACCTTCGCCCTGGTGGGGGGGGCCAAAATGACCCCCCCCCGTCTAACTCGAAAACGAAGAGGGCTAGGAAGACGCGGAAAAAAGCAAACGAAAGCCCATAACAAGTACGTTCGAAAGTATTTCGGTCATTTTTTCGCTAAGGTCAATATTGAGGTCGCTAGAGGTCATCATAGGTCAAATTTCAGTGTTTTCGGTGTTGCCGGACATATTCCGCTGTAGCTCGGAAACTAGAAGAGCTAGAGAGCCGCGGAAAAAAGCAATCGATAGCTCTTTTCAAGCTCTTTCGCCAAGGTTCGTCAGATTTGACCTCAGCTCAACGGTTTGGCCTACAGAGGTCATGCAAGGTCAACTTGGCAAATTTCTTTGAAAATGTTTTTAACTATAGCATGCATTCACGAGAAAATAGAGAAACGATTCATGCACCATCGTGCTTGGCTCGTCGAGACGCGTCGAATGATATATAGTTTGACCTCGAAAGGTCATTTTGAAAATTTGACCTCAGGTCAAGGTCATGACCTTACCGAAATAGGTCATGCTGCATATCATTCGATCCGCATTGACGAGACAAACACGATAAACGTCGAACGGAGTCTTTATCTCTATTCAATAACAAGTAAGTGCAGAAAAACCGCTGGTGACCTCTGGTGACCAGGGAGATGACCTAGCGTGACCTCAGCGAGGTCACAAGCAAATGGTTTCACATGGGCTGTGATTTGCTGACCCAAGACACTTCAATAACGAAATATAGGAACAATCACGCCCGATTTAGCTGAAAAACAACTACTTTTCGATTCTCCCATTGACTTATAATGGGGAGCAGCGATGACCTGACCTGACCTTAGGTCACATTTATAAAAAATCCGAGATAGCCATTTTGTAGAGCTGGGTGACATCTTCAAGTACTGTAAATTTTACATCGATCGGATAAAAGCTGTGCCTTTGAGAGAGCTTTGAACTTTTTTAGAGGTGGTGTCAGTTTTGGTGACCTTGTGACCTGACCTGACCTGACCCGAACCCCCCAAAAAAGGACATGATGTAAAAATGTTGAATAAACAGCTATACAAAGTTTCAGGGCGCTAACTCAAGTGGTTTCTGAGTTATCGCTGAAAAACCACAGGGGGGGGGGGCCAAAATGGCCCCCCCCCCCACCAGGGCGAAGGTTAATTTTACCATTTTCTTGAAGATTTTTCATTATATTCTGATTTAGGGACAATTCAATAGCAAACATAGTTACAAACGAAAAAAAAAAAATGTTCAGGGGCCAAGCTTCTCAGTGCCCCATTGATCCACCCACTCAGCCATTTTTAAGGACTTTTAAAAAATGGCTTATCGCGAGAGGTATTGATGGTTCCTTTCAAAATAAAAAATTATGGGATTGATAAAATTGAACATGTACCCCGTACCTTCGGTTTTGATGACATAAAGTCTTGCCTGTTAAACTCTGCATTAACAGCATTACAAGTGATAGAAGAAAATAACACTGCGTCTCTGTTGTGTCTTATTTGTCGCGTGATTTGGGTTGAATTAGGTAGATCATTCGCTCCCTCTTACAGAGAGAACCACGTTGTTTGTTAGAAAGTTCATAAGAAATATGTATAAAAATATTGCGGCAAAAATCAGCGAAATTGTTTCACGAATATTTCTCTCATTGAAGTCATGTTGTCGGGTGAGTCATTTGGTGTACCCATTATTTGATGGTGCTCCTATGCCATCACTTTGCGGCTGATGACTACCACGGGTTATCATTTATGTTCTGGCGAGTACCCCCGGCCCATCACTAATTCGCTGAGGGGTGCCACTGAATCTTCAGTAACGTGCGGATGACCGCTGCGTCTCTAATCTCAAAGGCATTTCAGACTCAACCAGACACTCGACATTCCACCCCAGTGTATTTCACATTTCTTCCGGTGTCAGGATGGTGGACGGCTGTGGAACAGACAGCGGGTTCCGTTCAGTCTCCATGAGGTCGGTGCTGTGTGGGGTCGCGGTGGTCTGAGGGCGCCGCTGCTCGGGAGGAGGAACTCGCAGCTCCTTGTCTGGACTGGAGGCAGCCGGGCTGGCTCCGTTCATGGCGAGCTAGGCTAGCTCTGCGACTTTGCAAACGACATGAGCGTAGTCATCTACGCCTAATGTCGACCAGCAGCCGTTGTTATCTGGACTCATACAGGCATATCGGAAATCAGTACCAGCAGGTTGGCCGCTACACCAGCTTGTCCAGTTGGTAGGTGTGCCGTCGATCCAGGACCACGGGTCATCTGTATGAGGTCTTTCGAGTCCAATCCAGCCGTACGAGTCTTGCATGACAGTTTCGAATACGAATGCGTTTTCAATGTTGTCATGAATGGACACCATATGTGAGCCTCTGTACTCATTGTAGCAGACGAATTCTCCCGATCGCCATTCAGTTTTAAACGGTGACCGCCAGTAGCAGTAGCCGTTGTTGAGTTTCCACTCGCTGGAGGGACAGCCGGCAGACGTCACGGCGGCCGTCACACTCACCGTGACGAGCCACAGCCAGGGTCCGGCGGCCATGTCGGGACACCAGTCGGTCCGATGCGTCGATCCGAGGTGCGGCGCCGCGCGGGGTCGGCCTCTGAATCGGCGGCACGCCGCGGCCCGGCCGTCTTATACCCGTCCCGGAGTGTGGCTCTGCAGCTGATAGCCAGCACTGCGCGGAGGTCTGCCGTGGGAGCGGCGGCGACTGGCGATGTCGGAATCGAGATGGAGACGTTCGTTTTTTTTCCATCTGCCTTTCAAACTGAACCCTTGTTGTTATTTTGCCCGTGTTTTATAAGACAGGCTAGAGATTCGAGATGTTTTACCTGGTAGACCATTCCGGGAGCTTCCACCTTTCTTGACTTATAGAGATAGAGTTGTTTGTCCCACGGCACGTAAATTATACCCAATTCTGTAAATTCGTAAAGTAACTACAACCGATTCTTGAATCTGGCTCATTATATTTTGATTTAGCGAACAGTGCATGTCAAGCATGCAAGCAAAAACTGAAAATGTGAGGCCTCCCATGGGCCCAAGTTGTCCACTCGCTCTGCAAATTTCGTGCCTCTAAATCTTATAGGAAATAATCGTGAGGCGAGTCGTATCAACGCTCTGCTCGTCCCCGTTATGAAAAGGTTTGCTCAGGTGAGGTTTTTGGTCGGGTCACCGGGTCAAGATAGCTGACATTAGTTAGTCCACGAAAGTTTTTTTTTCTTCTCAGTGGCTACTGCCTAGACGGTCCCTCTGAAAATCAAAACTTCTCGGATGGATAAAAATTGCTGAGCAGTTGATCCCGTACCTTCGGTTTCGATGATATAAGTAGTTGCTTGCTAAACTCTTCATTACAAGTGATAGGAGAAAGTACTGCGTCTCTTTTGTACGTCTCCTATGTAAGCCATCTAAACATCGTAGGTACTTTAAGATGGTGAATTGAACAAGCTTGCTCTTTATCCCACATAACTGAGATCACGAGACATGACGACAACATCCAGTTGTTGAAGAAACACGTTTGATAGGTACTTGTAAAAGCGATGAAATCACTATAGGTGTTTTTATGTAAAAATAACAGTTTGATTAATCATGCAAGGCATCCTGTCAGGTGATGACTGACCTAGAGTCAAGCTCGTATGCCGCGTTATTCGGGTTTAATTAGGCAGATCATTCGCTATCCCTGCAAGAGAGA